TAAAGCTACTGTTTTAGATAATGGCATCTTTCAGAGTTGGAAACCAGGCTTAAACACTGACCCTATTCAAGACAGCAAAGTCGTGGAAATTCCATACTCTATTCAAGACAAATGGGCCGAAAATGTAGATCTTATCTAAGACATAAGCATAAGCTATAACATAAGCTATAGAGAAAATCAGAGTTAAAGTTTATGCAAATGAACAAGAATCTGAATGTGGATTTACTGTGGATTTTTTAACTCTCTTCATGGGTTATGATTTCTATTGTGTTTTGCCTTATGAATATTAATGAATTTTACAATAAATAGATATTGCATTTTAGAATAAAAACATAGAAAGTACTCCCCTATTCAAGATAACTGAAGGTAAATTGTATCCCTATTCAAGACAGTAAGGCCGAAAAGCATAACCCTATTTTGCGTAACGTCCCCATATAGTAGTATAGGGGAGTATCTCCCTTCCCCTTCCCACTCGCGCAGTAAAAACATCAATTCCGAATCTCCAAGCGACCATGTAATATTATTTTTATCATATCATATCCATGAAATCAATTATACGTTTTATAAAAAAACCATATACATGGATATTACATGGGCACGCGGATTTTATCTTAAAGTGTTGAAAAGTGAGCGTAGCGAACGAGTGAGAGATTTTTAACACGAGAAGATAAAATTCGTATCTCCGAGCAACCATGTAATATTCTGTTTATCATATAATTACATATGAAAGCAAATTATGTCGTAAAAATACCTTATTTCTTACTTCCACTGTATTGAGAAACTTCGAATGTGTAATTTTCACTAGTGAAAATAAAAAATAACATGGTATTTTCACTAGTGAAAATATCAACTTCAGGAAAAGGAGAAATATAGGTATTTCATAGATAATTACTATGATAAATACAGGTAAAACGAATGTGATATTTTGTGATAATAGCACCCCTACTGGGTTTCTGGAATGAGATAGATACACTGACGAAACAGGAAGATTGATTATTCACAACAGGGCGCAGTGGTTATGAAGTGGCGTAATAATAATAGAATGAACTAGCTAGAACTGTAATTGCTTTGACAGCAAGGTACGAAACGAATGGCATCTACGGCGCTTTTAAATGATGATCCCTACCCTGGGGGTTTTGGTGATCCTTAGCCCGGGGGGTATTGGTGTTGATCCCTACCACGGAGATAAAATTTAATTAACACTTATGAGAAAAAAATGATCTTGATTTTCGATCATRTCTTGAAAATATGATCCTTTTTGAGCCCGATTTGAATCCAAGGTCTAAAATCTGATCCACTAAGATGTAGTAGTGCCTGACTTATGATTGCATCTGATACATTACACAGGATAATTACATAAAAATAGGCGAAACAGTGGGGCTGCGACTTTGATTTAGTTTATATAGATAAGTTATCGTATGTGTAATCCCAGATGTTTTAGCGCCACTGTTCCGGCTCCCTGTGGCATTAGTATTATTCCAAGCAATATTTTCGATGGGAATGAAGTGTCATGGATACCATGGGTCGGGGATGCAAAGCTTTGTTCACTGTAAACTTTGTTCACTTTACAGACTCTGTAAATTTACTGTAAACCTATTCAATATTAAGACAAAATGTCTTTTCACAAACTTTGCAAATTAATTTTTCAAGATATTTACTATGTTTGATCGAGCAAAATATTTATAAAATGTTTATAAAATACAAACTTTTTAATAGGATTTTCTCTGTAAATTGAATTTGCAGTATATATACTATTTCCATAATATTTACAAACTTTGCAAGCTAATCAACTTTTCCAGTGTATCGAGATAACCATAATAGCTTCTTTTCAGTCATCGCGCGTTCTCACCTTCCCTCCCCCGCTTCCCCCGTTTCAGTCCCCATTCCCTCTCCCCTAGGGCCATCACGCAAATTGAAAATTAAATAGTGCTTTTGCGATGATAAAGACACCTTTATGAGAATACAAACAAATGTCTCGATAGGAGGGTGGTTTACAACTTAAATCAAGATAACTTTTAGGGTTTTAAGACTTAGCTAAATTCTATAAAGAAAAAATTCTATAAACAAAAAAATATCTTAGCTTAAATATAGTGTCATTGCGCTTTTGAACTGAAAGTGAGAGCTCAAAAATTATCCACAATATAAACATAACTGATTTTCTGTCGACCACGAAAGAATCAGAGCCCCGGACAGAAGGCTAATAGTGTTAGACACATTGGGTTTTTTTCGTTTAGCTGACAAACCAAATATTTTTCTTTTTGAATGGCGGAAAATACTTCTGATCTGACTTAATGATAAACTAAAACACTCACCTTTTCTTTTCGAGAAATTAAACGCAGAACCAAACAACAAACCACGGAAATCTACAATGTAAGCAGTGCTGTATTAACAACTGAAGATTGACGATGAAAAAAATGACACGTTTACCACAGATCGCTATCAATAGCTTAATAAAGCTACTGTTTTAGRTAATGGCATCTTTCAGAGTAAAATTCCCACATCTTGTCAATGRAAATGCTTCAAAATAAATGAATTATTCAAACATTTCGTGTTGAAGAGATGAAGTCATGTTGTGATTAGTAAAATGGGGACAGCTTACCTTGCGATGAGATCAGATCACGTGAGACTTTGATGGCCGTTTGACACGTTGAGCGATATCGCTTCAAAACACCTTGAAAACCTGGACAAAAGAAACTTAATCCAAGTAAAGTAAGAATCTACCTGGACACGAACAGGAACCGGGGAATTATAAGTTAATTATAAAAAAAAACGTCTAAAAGAACAAAGAAAGCGGTGTAATTTTAGAGTGAAGCGCAAAAGAAAAAAAAGGCGGGAAAAACGCGCGCGCGTCGCCGAAAGTACCTGCAAAACAAAATAGATATCAAATAATAAAAAATATAAATACCTTTGGCTCAGCACTACAAAACACTCGAGACTGCCTACTGTTTAAAGCTAAAAACATGCTTAAAAGTGAATTCCAACTAAGATTGC